GGTTCTGTAGGTCACTGAGGTTCTGTAGGTCACTGAGGTTCTGTAGGGCTATGCCAGCAGTTTTGCTGCACATCCTGACAATCCCTGATTGTTTTTTTCATGTTAACAATTCAAAGCAACAGATGAAAGTAAAAGTTAAAAAGTGACCATATTTTCTGTCACTGCTACCGTCTTTATTTACCTGTTTTTATTTATTTTTTTATCTTAATATGTATTTATTGTTTCTCCTCCTATAGAAAATACATCTGGACCTGCCATTCTGTGTTTGTTTCTCCTTCCTGTTCCTCTCAAACTCCAGCCAGTCAAAGAAGATGGCCGCTCGTCCTGAGCCTGGTTCTGCTGAAGGTTTCTTCCTGTTAAAGGGAGTTTTTTCTTTCTACCGTCTCCATTGTGCTTGCTCAGGATGGGAGACTGTGACGAAGTGAACATTCAATGCATCTGCTGGCTTCCTTAGATAGAGAACTTTTACTAACTGGTTTTTCTGTGTATGTGAAAGTTTCCCTGAGACGACTTCTGTTGTGACTTGGTGTTATATAAATAAACTGAATTGAACTGTGCTCAATAGAAGTGGAACAAAACCTCAAATAAAAGATAAGGTTCTTTTTTCCAACAATGTTCAGTGAGGTCATCTGGACAGTTTCTGTTTTAGGTTCTTTTATTATGAATAGCCAGGACGTGCATGCATCCTGCACATGTTTAGCCTGTTTGTATTTTCACTACCTCAGCTGAGTCTGTGGTTGTTACCTCCTGTGGTGCAGGACGACGGGTCGACAGCCAGCACTGCTACTTTATGTCCACGTCCTGTTAGCATCTTTCCCACCACTTCAATAAAGGAGGACTTCCCAGCTCCAGGAGGACCAGACAGACCTGAAAATAACAGAAAGAAAACTGTAAAGTTATTGAGCCTGTTCTGTCTGTTAGCAAAATATCTCATGAACCAATGGGTGGATTTTTAATGAAACTCTCAGAAAGTAATCAGTAGACGTGCATCCACAGCTCAATAGCTAATTGTGTCAACCCGATTAAAGATGACCGTCGCATCTAATTACCTGCTACACACATCAGTTTTAGAGAAATTGAGCATTAGCGTGACAGCAGCTCAAAGTTAATCCCAACAAATTCTCTGAGCAGACAGTGCAAGATATGTTTAAACGTTTGGCTTGCAAAGTTGAGTAATATGAACTCCTTAAAGAATAACTAATACTATTTTTTTTATTTTTGACTTTTAACGATCAAAATTGTATTGTAAATCTTTAAAACTGGCCTTGATCAATTATTCTTCCCATAAGGTCTTTCTTTCTAAAGATCTTTAAAACATGAACAGTATTGCTGCACTTTGGCTGCTTATGCCCTGACATGACTTCTGTTGTGACTTGTATAAATAAACGGAATTATTTTCTATTTTCTTCTTGATGTACGACTTCTTTTAATTCTTATATGACCAATTTTTCATCAAGACACTAAACACAGAACTATGAAGCATTCGAATATACAAACTCAAGCTAAAGGTGTGACGTGCATCTCTCTTGAAAAGGAGTCCTCGTGACTCAGTGAGACTAATCTGTAGAAATAAAGACTGAATAAAAAAATAAAGCAATATCAAGTATTAGAGAGTATCAAGACATCGTAAATGTTTGCAAAAAACAACAACAAAAGAAATCTTTGGTCAATTTGTTACCAGCAGCCTGCTTCAGACACAATTTGTTCACATTTCTTTAAATCTATAAACATAAAGTTTTTATTAATCCATCCATCAGCTTTATTCACTTCTTCCTTTTTGGGTCGCTGGTGCTCATGTCCAGCAGTCACTGTGTGAGAGGTGGGGGACACCCTGGACAGGTCTCCAGTCCATCACAGGGACACACAGAAACAACCACTCACTCTCTCACACCTAGAGACAATTTAGAGTTACCAATCATCCTAACATGCATGTTTGTGGTCTGTGGGAGGAAACTGGAGTACCCGGAGAGAACCCACGCATGCACGGAGAGAACATGCAAACTCCACCCAGAAAGGGCCCCCGGACCTGGACCTTTGATCCGGTGACCTTCTTGCTGACAGCCCCGGTGCTGGGTCTTTGATGAAAACCTTTTTCTTTCTATGATGTCATAGATACAAAAAACTGGACAAATAAAAGTGCAAAAGCAGCCAAAGTGTAAAGAAAAAACTTTTAAAGACCTTCAGAAAGTCTGAAGTACTGACCAGGACAACTTTCCCAGAAAGCTTCAACTCTGCTGATCTTGCCACTCCGCTAGGACAGTACATTTCTGCTCCAACAGATCCTCTCCAAGTCCATTAACAGTCAATATGAACATTTAAAGTTTACAATTCACTCCAAAAGACAGACCTACTCTGAAGGCCACTGGCTTTCCTTCGTTGCTTCTCTCCTGCTGCCTCCTATGAGCCAGCACCCTGTGCAGCAGCACCTGGGCCAGCTCTTTCCTCCTGGGGTGCTGGGTCTCCACCAGAGTGATGGACTCGGCCAGAGACGCCCGCTGGCCTGAGATCAGTCCATCATACAGTCTCCTCAGCAGTCTCTGTTCAGGTCCACTCAGGTCCTGGATGTGCTGACTGACGACAGAGCTGCTCACACCCCTCCAGGGGTGACAGCTGTGGCCTACAATGACGCTCTGGCAGCAGGGAAAGGAAACCGTGAAGACCCCCTGATGAAGGCAGCGTGGTGTTCTGATGAAATTGGTAACAGCAGGTAAAGGACGGTAGAAGAGGCGAAGAGGACCAAACCGTCTCATTTTGGGGGTCTAGAAGAACAGAGAACGTGTTTATGCTCGTTGAAAGTTGAAAACCAGCCTGTCTTCTTTAAAGTTTTAAAGCAAAGAGCCGTATATTTTCCCTTTTATCCATCGACGTGATTCAGCTAACATTAAGCTAGCTGCTCCAGTTTAATGCCAGGCCGTGACTTCAAAGTTTAAATAACACTGTCGATGAGAAATGTCTCGACAAAAATACTTAAATGTCCAAAGGGTACACTTCCTCTGACCTCGTATTACGAGCACGAAGTTGTTACTCATTAATAGGTCCGCCCCGTTTCATTCATTCACTTCCTGTTTCCGGTGACGTTTAGAAATCAGGACATGATTAAATTCGGCGAATTTAAAAAACGAGCAAGAGTAATAATGTTCTAGGTAAATATTTTATATGCCATTTTTGACGAAATAAGCCGTAATATAATTTTAAATAAAACGAAAAATGTAATAAGTAAGTAAATAAATAAATGAAATTAAGTGGTAAAAACAGTTTTGGCCAGCAGGTGGCAGCAGAGGACAACAATCACGTTGCATGGACTGGACTGTAAATCCACTTTCTTCAGAGCAGTTTACATGTAACTGATTCAACTAGATTTGTAGTCGTAGAATTCATATTATTGCTTTTATGCTATTATGTTGATTTGAATATTTTTTAGATATGAGTTCCCTAAAGGTTACACAGTGTTCAGACAAGATTATTTGGTCAAAGTGACCTGAAGGTTCTGTAAAGGTTTCATTTTAAAATGTTGTGACTTACTTTCGGGGAACATTTAGGAGCTGGGAATACCTTCCTCTCTAGCATCACCACTTGTTGACTGCTTTGATTTAGCAAAAATAAATAAATAAATAAAATTAAAATAAATAAAATATTTTGGTTGTGTGTGTGTTGGTATTCTGTGATTTTTATTATTTTATTTTACTTTCCCACGTTCAAGCTGCACCATATTTTTCAATCAGTACATTTGAGTACCGGTAGATGGAAAATCTTTCTCAATGAGAGACTCAAGTCATCATTAAGGGGTGATGACAGGACCCTTGGAAGTAGAGGTGTGGAGGGTGCTGTAGCACCCCTTAACAAATGTCATAAAACATGCACAAATGCAGGGCTTTTAAAAAAGATACAACACGTAGTTTTTTCCCATTTATTTCTCATCAGTGCTGCTGTAGAAGTATGATTTGAAAGAATATTTAGGATTTAGTTGTATTCAGTTTTGTTAAATTATTAAATTTCCTTATCCTCTATGTTTAGGGTTAGGAAGGGATCACAGAGAAAGAGGTCATTAGTCCATCACAAGACCAAAACGTGAAAACTCAAAAGACCAACAAACATGCTCTCACACTCTTACACAGGTCAGTTTATTCAGTAGGGGTGTCCAAACTTTTTGCAGAGGGTCAGATTTCATAAGTATGTGTGGGGGCTGATCATTCAGCCTGACATTCTTTGAACCATTAACATTAAATGCAAATTAACTCTTATTATTTTTTTTATAATTATTGCAAATAGAATACTTTTCAGTTCTTCACACAGAACACATAAATCTAAGTTTTTACCACATACACTTTCATATTTGAAGACCACATCAAATGAAGAAAAAGTCTGATGCTTTGGGAAGACTGAACTTAACTAGGTTCATTTGAAACATTGCACAGTGCTATCCTGATGCTCAGTAATCCAGGTCCAGAATTTTTTGACCAGTAAGTTGTAGGTTTTTTTTATAATTTGCATGCCCTGCAACTTATACACCGAAGTGACTTATTTAATGTTTTTTTTTCCATATCTATTAACCAATTTTTGGCTGAGATATGACCGTTCTCATTCTGACTGAAAATATTGAACACTACCATTTTCAGCCTTTAGATGGCACTCGAGGTTTATGGCATGCTGGTGTATCATGTAATAAGTAAAAATTATATTAAATTCTACTTAAAAATTAAATTATTACAGGCTGCTTTTGATGAGGTGCAGATTTGTCTTGAGCAACTAAAATTGGTCTTAAATGCTGATAAATCTAAAATAATGTTTTTTTCAAATTTGTTTGTCCCATTGGAGAATATCCCTCTAATAAAAACTTCACAAGGTAAAGTTCTCGAGAGGGTCTCCTGTTATAAATACCTGGTCTTAATTATCGATGAGGAGCTTTCTTTTAAATCTCATGTGAAACACCTAATCTCCAAATTAAGGATGAAGCTCGGGTTCTTCTTTAGAAACAAATCATGTTTCTCCCTTAGAGCAAGGAAGCGTTTGATCACAACTACTTTTTTACCAGTACTTGATGCTGTTTATATGTGTGCTTCAAACAGTTGTCTACAGTCATTGAATCCAGTGTACCACTGTGCATTAAGATTTATTACTGGTTGTAGCTACCTTACTCATCACTGTGATCTCTATCTTAAAACCAATATGTCTTCCCTGTTTAACAGGTGACATGTGCATTGAATGACTTTGGTTTATAAGTCTTTTATTGGCATGCTTCCAAATTATTTGTGTACTTTTATTCGAAGAATGGACAGTAGTTAAGCCTTACACTCTAAGGACTGTTTGTATCTTCATGTTCCTCGTGTACGAACTGAAAAGGACAAGAAAGCTTTTAGCTTTTCTGCCCCTTCAGCTTGGAATGCATTGCAAGCTGAATTAAAACTGACAGAACTTGTTTCATTGAGTGATTTTGAAAACTTAAAAACCGATAAAGGATATCTTGTCAACAGTGCCTGTGTTTTAGATCTTAAATTGTTATTGTTTTAAATTATTATTTATTACAATTATTGCCATTTACTGTTATACTGTATGTTTTTTTTTAAATATATTTCTGAAGTCTTATTCTAATCTGGTTACTTGTTTTTGTTTTTTATGACATGTGCTGCTGCCTGTTCTTGGCCAGGTCACCCTTGTGAAAGAGGTCTTGATCTCAATGGGTTTTTTATCTGGTTAAATAAAGGTTTAATTAAAAAATAAATAAACAAAGGCTATTAATGACACAATGGGCTTGCCAAAGACTGTCACCTTTGTCCAGCTTATATGGAGCAACCGTCAAATCAGCTTCATTTCGCTGCGCCGCCCCAGCGAAATGAAGCTGATTTGACGGTTGAAGTGCATTTATTAAGTAAAAGTTCAACTGAGACACACCTTTACTATAAAGACAAGCAAACAAATATTTGTTTTTAAGTGTTAATCTTGTTAAATTCTTGTTAAAGTCCTCCTGTGCACGCTCCCGCGGTAGCCATTTGGCAGCCGATCGATTTTTGGCACACTGCAGGACCACATTTCCAGGTTGTCAGTGGTGACACGTAATAAATGTGACATAAATGGTAAATGGACTGTACTTATTTAGCGCTTTTCTATCTTATCGAGATGCTCAAAGCGCTTTACACTACAATCTGTGTCCTCATTTACCCATCCACACAGCACTCTACAAAGCTAATTGAACAAATCACTCTAAAGAGACTAATCAGAGCTTTATCACATTCATTCACCGATGGGACACACATCGGAGGCAACGAGGGGTTCAGTGTCTTGCCCAGGGACACTTTGGCATGTGACTGCTGGTGGATTCGAACCCACAACTCTTGCATTGTAGGACGACTGCTCTAACCACTCAGCCACAGCCACCCCACATATACAGCGAAGCAACGTATTTATGCCTTTTTCCACTTTATTAGACATATTTTGACTGATGCGACTTGTAGTGCGGTGCGACGTGTATGGCGGAAAATACGGTAGATAAATCTAACAAGATTGAGTCAGGTCCTTTAGATGCTGGCAGGCCACATATTATTGATTTTATGACAGAGGCTGTGGGCCAGTGGAAATTTGAACATGGGCCACAAATGGCCCCTGGGCCCAACTTTGGGCATGCCTGAACCTAACTTGGAGAATCTACTTGTATAGACGAACATACACATTCCACAGAAAAATCTGCACATTGACATGTAGGTGAGATAACCTCACACCAACCATTCGATTATTTGTTGTTAATTTTTACTTAGCAAATATGCAGTTGTTTTTCAGATACTTTCAATTAGCGATGCTGCTCAAGATGAGGGTCTAGTTCTATACATGCACAAAGGAGTGTTTAGGTCAGGAGTGGGCAACTATTCTTTTCCATGGGGCAACATGAGAAACAGAAAATATTGTGGAAGGTCGGGCCAAATGACTTAACTCAATACTGCATAATATTAATAGTATTTCTTTGTTAAAAGCAGTAAACTTTATTGTTTTGACAAGCTGGTAAGACTGGTAAGAGTATTTGTTATGATTAAGCAACAAAAAGTGAGGTTGTTTTACAAAAAATGTTATTATTCAATCAAATTTCCCAGTACAATGGTAAACTGTGAACTTTTTTTTTTTTTTTTTTACCATTTTTGACATTATATGGAGATCATTTTCAGTCACATTCACCCCAAAACACATTTTGAGTTTCATATACTGTTGGAAGAAGGTTCTTAGCTTTCTAAAGACATCACAATAGTCTTTGTACTCCAAATAATATGATACATCATATAATAGTGATTGTCACTAAACTGTGATTTTGAGTCCCAGTTCACTCCTTTACATTCAATTCAATTCAAAAATACTTTATTAATCCCAAAGGGAAATTATTTGTTGTTGTAACTCGTTATCCTCATTTCATTAAGAGATGTTGTAGATACTGATGGCTGTAGGCAGGAAGGATCTCTTGTAAAGGTCCATACCACAGTGGTTATTCATGCTAGTCTTAATGACTTAACTGTCTTAAACATGTCTACATTTGTAATCTAACCACCTCGTTTGATGTTTTCAGTTCTTTGTTCTTGTTTAGTGAGATAAATCTAGTCTCTGTTGGACTTTATCAAGAGGATTAAAGTCAGGTTGATGCAAAGCAAAGCTGACAGATGATCATTACTGAAAGAGGATCTACTGTTTAACTGGATTTGGTCAGCTTCATCACTGAGAATGAGAAAAAGTAAAAAGCTGCCATTTTACGTTGCAGCTGAAGCTCCAGACTCTCAGCAATGTCATCGATCCTTCTCGTCACTGTTCTTCTGGACTTGCTCATTTGTTTTTTTTTGGTTCAGGGCATATTATAGTGCTTCACAGTCCACCAATCACTCTTTGACAAACCCCCCCTCCAAGAATGGCTTACTGTTTTTAGCCATTTTGTGAGATTTCACAAAGCTACTCTTGGTTGCTGTATTCCTGGATGTGTGAAGCTTGGTTAAAAAAAAAAAAGCCTTGCTGCATTTGTAGCTTAGCTAGCAACGCTTCAGATGCCTGTGATCTCAATGGGATTTGCCTGGTTAATAAATACATAAATGTGAATTAAAAAAATAAATAAAAGCAATACAGTTTTAGTCCACACGAGGTAAAATTAGAAAATATGTTTAATTTGTAATTCCCTTTACACGGCCAGTCAAGAGTCAACCAAAGGGCCGTATGTGGCCCACGGGCCGTACAAAGCCCAGGTCTGGTTTAGGTCATTCCAAATGAATTTCCATATCTAACCTTGTAACAGTACTTGTTCGACTCTCACTCAAGAATTAAACCAGTTCTTTGTCGTATTTAATAGACCAAGTCACTTTGAAATGCTTAATGCATTAGCTGATCATGTTAGTAAGTAAATGGTAAATGGACTGTACTTATACAGCACCTTTCTATCTTATTTCAAGATACTCAAAGCGCTTTACACTACAATCTGTGTCCTCATTTACCCATTCACACAGCACTCTACTAGATCTCTACAAAGCTAATTGAACAAATCATTCTAAAGAGACTAATCAGTGACTTATCACATTCAAACACCAATGGGACACACATCAGAGGCTATGAGGGGTTCAGTGTCTTGCCCAGGGACACTTCGGCATGTGACTGCTGGTGGATTCGAACCCCCAACTCTCACATTGGAGGACGACTGCTCTAACACAAGCTGCCCCTGTGTAACAAGTGTAACACACATTGAGACAGTAAGCACAAAATAAACATATTTAGCAATTGTTGAAACAATTTTATTCAATCCTCCAGGTGAGACTTGATATTAATGGAATAAAACAGCTTTTCTGTGAGTTTAAAGGAGCAAAACAGAAAGAATGTGAACGCACAGACAAACCAAAATACACAATCAGAAAATGAAAAGAAAAACAAAAAACTTGAGTGTAGCAGTTTAACAACAAAAAGCAAAGAGAGAATCAAATGACAAAATCTGCATTAATAAAAAATATTAGGACATCTGTAATCAACACCTTTTATTCAGTCAACAGTTACAATCCTCATGCTCAACATTTTCCTTAGATATTTTAACAAGTCTTGTTTAGTCTGAGTCTAATGAAAGGGTAACTGAAATATTTACACTACCTTTCAAAAGCTTTAGAAAAGCCATTTTTTATTGAAATTTAGTAAAGATCTGTTACTAGTCTAACATTAATTAGTGGTAAAGAACAAAGTGTTTGAACTGAAAACAAATTAAAGGTACAAAAATTTTAATTTTAGCTTAATCTAGTTTTTAAAAACAACATGTGAAAAAGAAATTGGTAAAAAATTTCAAATAAAAAGTTTTGTGATGGACTGGAGTTTAGGGATGTCCCCCGCCTCTCGCACAGGGACTGCTGGATATGAGCACCAGTGACCCCCACCATCCAAAAAGACAGAAGCAGGAAAAGATGATGCATGGATGGTAAAAAAAAAAGCTTTTATACTAATACTTTTATTATTTTATATATATATATTTTTTTTTTGTTGCTATATACAGTATATATATATATATATACTGTATATAACTGTGTTTTAGTTTATTCTTTTTAGTTTATTCAGTTTATTCACACACACAAATAAAATAGCAATGAAAGTATTAGTATAAAAGCTATATACGCACTTTTCCTGCAGCAATAAAAGTAAATTTTAAACTTTAAATGGAATGGAATGGACTTCTTGTAAAAAAGGCCCCCCGGCCAGGATTCTATCCAGCAACCTTTTTGCTGAGAGGTGGCATTTCTACCAACTGCGCCACCCCAAATTGTTTTCCTTCATTAAAAACAAAAAACAAAAGAACCTGGTATGTTTCAGGCTGTCAAATGACTACAATTTAAATGGATTGAGATTTTTTTTTAAATGTGCACACATTTTTTGTTACTTTAAATTCAAAGAACTGTTCGGACTAGAAAATTTTTTTTTAAAAAAGAATGTGTTATACTTAATGAGCCAAACATGCATCCCAGTGGTTCCCAAAGTTGGAGCTGGGACCTAACTGGGTTGTAAAAAAATCCATTTCGGGGACGGGAGCAAGAAAAGATCTACAAAAATAAAAATAAACTTTAAAAACCTTTTTTTTTAAAAGTTTTAACTATCACAAGATAAAAACAGTCACCATGAATGAATAAACATAGATAAGGTTGTTAGCTTTGTAGCATTCTTTACCAGCAGAAGTTGTGGTTGTAAGTCTCTGCAACTTTTATTTTGTGGGTCAAAAACTGAAAGTTTATTTGTCACTAAAGTCCACATTGTTGTGATTATAGGAGAATTAGGGGCAACTTCAACTGATTTGTTGTTTCATATGATGCAGCCCTAAATTCTCTGCTGGCAAACCTTTAACAATGAATTGTTTGAACTAAAGAGGAAACCTATCACGGCATCACGGATTAGAAGAACACATAGATGAGAAATCAGAAAAAGGGCAGAGCAAGTAGCAAATACACCCCGGAATCGTCCAAGAGAAGTTTCTGATCGTGTGACAAAAGTCCAATTTAATATCGGTTAATAAAATGTACCATCATGTAAACCTCACTACAAACTGAAATCATGATGTCACTTTAAAGCTTTTGAAAGACGGTGTATTTAGACATTTGACATGATTTTGTGGAGGAGCACGGAGCTAAAGATCAACTTGACTTTACTTGTTGCCTCGGCTTAATTCAGCTACCAGTCTTTATGTGCAATACCACAATAACTAATCTTTGCTTCGCGAAACCGGACAGCACGGCACATCTTCTAAATAGACACTATTCTCTCCTTTTTTAAATGATTTAGAAACAAGTGTAACATAAGATGAGCAACACTGAAACTATTGTTTTTATGTCCGAAACGTCTTGAGTCACTACCCCATGCTAAACCCAACACGTTACGCTTTGATAAGCAGTTTTTATTCTTGAGTCAGAGCTTCCAGTGCCGGGTTTTATTGATGCACATCAAATTAAACAAGTTTAATTCAAAATGACAGCTCAGACAGTCTGAAGTAGCGCTCCATGGAACAGTTATTATCTCACCTGTTGTAGATAGCTCTGTGAACATTCTCAGTTGAGAGGTTCTAGTTATTCTGACTGGAGTGATGAGCTAATGGCTAGTCTGAGCAAGGCCAAGAATAAGGTGGATATTCTGTGGAGAGGAGCAGGTTTTTTTTCTTAATATTTGAAGTTGTTTTCTTACGGTGTAAATCCAGTCTGCAGGGTTTCCCTAACATGATACAAGCAGGGCGCCCCGCCCCGCCTACTGAACCGAAAAGTCGACAACTGCCGGCACTGACGTAGCGCTAAGCTAGCGGCGCGCAAGACAGTTGCACAAGCTAAAAGAAATTACAGAGGGAGCGCTCAGGTTCCCTCAAGATGATATGTTCACCCCCCCCCCCCCAACAAAAAATGATGAGATGAGCACCCTGCCAAGGCAAGTAATCTGTTTGCTTTTTTCAGCACAACACAGTCAGCCCTCCCAAAAAACTACAAATTATTGTTAAAGTGTTTTTGTTTAAATGCCCATCCTTATAGGATAGCTGCCACCACACAACTGCAGGGTCAAACAGGTCATAATAATTCATGAGAATCCCTTTTTAAAAACCTCTACACTGCAGCCATTTTCATTACATGGCTGTTTACAGAGATCTATGGTTAACTGCAGGGACAACTGAGGCGGCAGCAACTGGCTATAGCACTTCTACCAAGAATATCACAATATTTCAACAAGACAGACGGATCGACCAACCATCCATGATCTTTTCCACTTCTTCCTTTTAGGGTCACGGGGGTCACTGATGCCCATGTCCAGCCATCACTGTGTGAGAGGGGGGACACCTTGGACAGGTAGATCCATCACATGGACACACAGAGACAAACGAGACAATCAAACATTCACTCTCTCACTCACACCTAGAGACAATTTAGAGTCACCAATCAGTCTAACATGCATGTTTTTGGTCTGTGGGAAGACACTGGAGTACCTGGAGAAGACCCACGCATGCACGGAGAGAACATGCAAACTCCACCCAGAAAGGTCCCGGGCCAGGATTTGAACCGGTGACCTTCTCGCTGAGAGGCAGCAGCTCTACCAACTGTGCCACCGTAAGATTAGCCATGTAACGTAAAACTCACAGTGGTGTAAATATTTATAAAACAGCATTCACATGAATTACAATGACATTTTTGAAAAGTGAGTTATTTTAAAGTTGTTTTGGTTTTGGCCCCGCTCAGACAAGTTGTTATTTTGTCAAAGCAGTCAGATTTAAATTCAATTCATCCCAACTGAACTGAATGTACACATGTTCAAAAAATAGGTATTATCCATTTATAACTTTACCACAGGATCCCACTTGAAAAAATCTGAGCAACCTATTTAATATGTACATTTTCTGTCAATTTACTCTATTCAGACAAAAAATACAACTGCAATTTTTATGACTTGGAATGTCCCTTCGCTATTGTTACCACACAAGTACAATGGGATTTCTGAGGGAATATTAGATGCAAACTAGTTATGAGTCAGAATATTGGAACAATGTAAAAAATAAACAAGAACTTGGAGAACGTTATGAGAGGATACTAGTCTTTTGAGTGTGATGCTCTAATTATTACAGTTGGTCACAAAAATCAAGTATCTTCCAGTTGCATCACTTTACCTGTTCCTTTCTCAGTCTGTTAATGTGCCCAATTCAGATGTCCTTCAAGTAGAAATACGCACGTAACAACCTGCCCCATCCTACAAGTTCCAGGTTAAGTTTGTGTTTCAGTCAAAACCACAGACCAGTGACTAAAACACAAACCAGTCTGACACCAGTTAGCTGCTGTTCTTGCTACTTGGACCAAAATGCTGGGGGTGTGAACAGCCGCAGGGCTGAGAGGCCTGGGGACAGTGACGCCTAGGAGACGGATGATATAGGATTGTGGGGGGAGCCCATCTGGGTTAGTACTTTATCCAACCACTGGAGTGGACCGTGCAGATGGATCTCAATCCAGCAGGGGGTGCTGGTCACATCCTGACGGTGGTACTCTGCTCCCCAGCCCTGCAGGGAAACACACAACCTGTAATCATGCTACGTTACAGTGTTAGTTTTTGCATTTTTCTAAGTCTTAATATTCATTGTTGAAACAAAAACGAATTGTTCATCTTTTTCTTACTCATAGTTTTACAGAGAAATGCTTATAGTTCAGACTGTAAGGATTGCTTTGCTTTAACCCATTTTCCTTCAGTAGCTGAGCTGAGAGCTGTTTCTTTATGTGAGGTGGTCTGTTTCTTTTGACAGCTCCCACTCAACTAAGAACTGATGGAGTATTTAAGATAGAATGGAAATATCAAAATATCAAGATTTGGGGGTCCGAGATGGTGTAGAGGTAGGACCCACTTGGGACCAGAAAGTCGCAGTTCGACTCCCTGCCATGCACACGTCATGGTGTCCTTGAGCAATCCCTAATTGCTCCCTGTGCGCCCACATAGCTGCCCACTGCTCCACCTGGGTGTCTCTCAGGTGTGATAGGTTAAATGCAAATAACTTATATCATCATTGTACAGAAACATACAAAGATGACAACACAGAGCACATATCTTTTTGGTCTGTGGGAGGAAACTGGAGTACCCGGAGATATCTGGTCTCATTTCTACAAAATTTAATAGAAATATCAAAGCAAATATGTTCTTGTTTTTAATATTTTACCTTGATTTATAAGGCATCTTGATGTGACTGTGATTATAACTTCTTTTATTTTATTTTAATAGCTTTTTATTGAACTATTGTCTTTACTTTATATGTTGTCTGTCTAAAACAGGTCTCGCTGTGTGTATCTCACTGTATTTTTCGGACTATAAGGCGCACCAGATTATAAAGTGTATTAAGTGAAACAAAACATAAGTCAAAATTTATTCAACTCATTCACAATAACTCTCAACATTGTTCAGTTGTACCACATAAAATCGGTTCAAGGTCATTAAGTACAACCAGAATTAATACACAAGGTGCACCGTCTAGGCTCACTGTCAATTTTTGATAAAAATTTAAGTATTTTAAGTGCACATTATAGTCCGAAAAATACGATAAATGGAACCTCGTGACTCAATGAAACTTTTTTTTCCTTCTTTCGGCTGCTCCCTTCATCAGGGGTCGCCACAGTGAACTAAGTCGCATGAACTCATTGACGCTGACCTGTATAAATAAAGGTTGAATGAAGAAAAGATGGAGCTGAGGTTAAATTCTTGGTTGGCTCAATTGTTGTAAAAACAATGAAAGCCTGCCTGTCCCTATCTACTGTGTTTGAGTTACAACTATCATGTCTTTTCCGTCTAAGGAACCAGGCTTTCTTGATTAACAATTCTCGAGCTTTAAGCTGATCCATCATGGTAAGTTTCATGTTTTGTTTACAAACCGGATTCCAAAAAAGTTGGGACACTAAACAAATTGTGAATAAAAACTGAATGCAATGATGTG